CTGTATTCCTCTCTGGCTTAACTGCCTCTAAAGCCATCACCCTCATGTAACTGCCCCTGAGCACATCTTTGTGTGTTTGTGTCAGTGGGTTTATCTCCATGTGCTGTGTACTGGGTGTGTGTTGTGCAGTGTGTGTACAGTATCACTGTGTATTGCTGGTGCTGTGTTCTCCAGTGTACTGGATGTATCTTGTGCAGTGTGTGTACAGTATCTCTGTGTATTAATGGTGCTGTGTTCTCCAGTGTACTGGATGTGTCTTGTGCAGTGTGTGTACAGTATCTCTGTGTACTGATGGTGCTGTGTTCTCCAGTGTACTGGATGTGTGTTGTGCAGTGTGTGTTTCTCTGTGTACTGATGGTGCTGTGTTCTCCAGTGTACTGGTTGTGTGTTGTGCAGCGTGTGTTTCTATGTGTACTGATGGTGCTGTGTTCTCCAGTGTACTGGATGTGTGTTGTGCAGTGTGTGTTTCTCTGTGTACTGATGGTGCTGTGTACTGCAGTGTACTGGATGTGTGTTGTGCAGTGTGTGTTTCTCTGTGTACTGATGGTGCTGTGTACTGCAGTGTACTGGAAGAGGGTGCTGCAGGGGCTGTGTGTGTCCAAGCTGGTCCCGGTGACCTACCCTCACCACGGGAGGGAGTACTTCTACATCCTGGGGGGCGGCTGGCAGCGGGGACACATCTACCGCGCTCAGATACAGGGTCGGTCAGTCCGTCTGCCCCGGTAGTTCCTTGGTTCTGTGTGCCCCTGTCCGTCTGCCAGTGTTGTTGTTCATCCGTTATCCTTCCCACCATACTCCTGTTACTCCAGTATCTGGTGTGTCTTTATCCTCCTTCATCTCTCTCAGTGTTACTGTCCCTCACTAGTCCAGACTGACACGATAGGTATTTCTCGGGTGTCCTGGTGAGCCAAGGCTTTTTAAAACAATGCCAGTTAGTAATTGCTCGTGTATAGATAGACAGCACACATGATAGAAATAACAAGGAAGACAGAAGGCCCTCATGCCCTTGCCCTTAGCTGTCTCTCCGTGTGTTGAGTGAGCTGACTCTCTCTGTCTTCCCCAGATGGGGACGTGGAGTTCACTCAGCTGCTGGACTCCGAGGGAAGGACGCCGTGTCAGTTTCTGCAGCGTGAGTCCCGCTCCCTCTGTCCTGACGTCTCTGGGCCTGTGGGAGCAGCCTGTCCGGGCGCCGGTGCCGGCACAGGAGCTGCTGCCAGGGAGTCGGGAGTCGGGCCAGTAACAGAAAATCACTGGCGGTTCCATATTCATGCACAAAATCCATCAAATCTGACTGAAGCTCTTGAGAATGTGTTTTCATCCATTTAGATTTCTGCCTGTCTGCAGGCAAACGGACTTACACATGTAAATCTGAGACGCACCTCTACAGAGTTCCCTGGCAACCCTCTCCTACACACACTACATGCTGGTGTTACTGGAAGTGCCTGCTTTCTGCTCTTCCCCCATCGCCGTGTTGCTCCGAAATCGCGCGTGTCCCCTGTCTCCACTCTCGCCATCCTCTGTCTGTGACTGCCCCCTCCAGGGGACTGTCTGCTGCTGTGGGCCTCTCTGGATCACCTGCACGTGCTGGTCGACATCATCCTCCTGGAGCTGCTGCCGGAGGAGGGCCTGGACCGTGCCTACCAGCTCCTGCTCTGCTGTACGGAGTCCGGGGCTCCTGGTGCGGGGGGGTGGAGCCGGGCAGGAGAGATGGAGGGACTCGGGCTTCGACGACAGGGAAGACAAAAACTATTAAGATAATTCAGAATCTCAGCCGCCGTGCATCAGCACTGAAATCTGAAGACTTGTATGTTAACAGACAAGAACCAGCTAAATGCCGGAATATTTTTTCTTTAACTTGTGCTTGTAGTTAAAAAAAACCTGGGACTTGGAAAATCAGAAAAAAGGGCTAGTAAAAAAATCAATTAGTAAAAGCAACAAGTAACAAGAACATAAGAAATATGAGGCCATTCCGCCCATCTTTCCTGTTTGGTAGTTAGAAGCTAATTGTGTATTGATCCAAGGATCTCCTCCAGCATTGTCCTAAAAGAAGCCCGGGTCATTCCTCCTGTTCTCCGTTCTTAATGCACTACCATGTAGTTTCGAGTCCCACCTGTGTCCTCTGGCTTTTGTCCCACTTAGAGAACTGCGCTGGGTTAACTTCGTCAGCGTGCTTAAAAGATTTGAATACTTAGTAAAAATACTAAAAATGCTGTACACAGGGCAGGTTCTTGCCACCTGGCTCACAGAGCTTGTGCACTGGAGGGTTTCTTCTGTTACTGCGGACAAGGGGAAGGGAGAGGGAGAGGGGGTGGGAGAGGGGGGAGGAGAGGGGAATAGGAGGGAGATTGTGAGGAAAAGGAGCTACATAAGTGGGAGGACAAAGTGAGTGATGGAGGAGTATGCAGATGAAATGGGCAGAGAGAGAGAAGGTGCTGATTTCGATCTCCAGGCAGTTCACCGGTCCTGACTGGAGTCCAGGGTTTGTGACTTAGTTCCTCTCCCTCACGCTCTTCCTATTTCTCTCCACAGATGAGAGTTTCCATCTTGGAGCCGCTCTGCCTAAATTCCTTCCCAGAGGTAGGACGCATGATCACGGTCCGGCACAGTGCTCGTGTTGTGCACACTTTTATTTTGTCGTGTTAATGCACAAATCTTGTTTTTTGATTTTTGCTCACCAGGCATGCACAGCTGAGGGGGATTGATAAAGCAGATCATTTATCTTGATTTATCTCCTGAAAACAGCTGGAATTTATTGGACAAAATAAACGCATTAAGTTTTTACCATGTGGAAGATTACAAGCATTGATCTCATGGCTGTGCGCGTGTTCAGACGTGTATATAATGAGTTCTGCTCACTGCTCGCTGTGTTTCTGCTGCGCTCTACGGTAGTCATACGCTTGTAGTGTAGTTAAGAGGCCATGTCGGATCTGTGGTTCCGGTGAAGGGCGTTGTTTTCCAGGGAGACACAGTTAGAAGCTCCCTGTGTCCTGAGCCTGATGGCGCTCTGTCCCTCGGGTGAGATGTGAGATGGGGGTCCTAGGCGGAAGATGTTGATGGCGGTGGTGCGCAGCCTGGTCTCTGTAAGTGACTCTGTATAACCATGTCAGCACAGGGACTCAGGCATCGTCTTCCTGCTGTGCCCTGTGTCTTCCAGAAAATGGCTTGCAGCAGTTTGTCATGGTGACGGGCTCAACGCAATACAGTGACATCCCCCTGCTGCTCAGGGGCATCAACTTCAACCCCTTCAGCAGGGTCCTGTTCCTGTGGGGTAACGCGCTCCTCTGTTCGTGAGTAAGATACCCTCTCTCTTTAACTCCATGGTTGTGTCATCAGAACAGCGCAGCACCGCTCTCCCTCTCTAACGCAGTGCTCTCTTCTCTGAGTAATCTAGCCTGCCCCTCTCTTCCTTCTCTCAGCTTCGACGTGGGTTTCAGTTACATGTTCCTCACTGGCTTCCCCAGTGACCAGCGGATCAAATACTTCACCCTGTCTCTGACCGGAGAATTCACCTTTGTCACTGACTCTGAGCAGGTCTGTGCGTCTGTCCTGAAGGGCCTGTCTGTATGTGTCCGTGTCATATGTGGCTGTCTGAGTGACCTGAGAGATGTCCTCTGTGTGTCATTCTCTTTCCCTGACCGACATGGCTAACTGTCAAGTGTTCATTCTTAGTTGTATATTAGTGGTGAGCATCTTTAATGTGTTAGCTCACTCTGCATTCAGCATGTGTTTTTAATGTTTCTGCACTGTGGCGTGATGGTGTGACTGTGTGTTTTTAGTGTCTCTGCACTGTGTCACTATGTGTTTTTAGTGTCTCTGGTTGTTTTTCTGTATGTCTGTACTGCGTATTGGAACAGTGTGTGTGCATGTACACTATGTGTTGTGACAGCTTGTGCTGTATGCTGTGCTGGTTGTGACGAGGTGTTCTGTGCGGTGTGAGTGTGCTGTAACAGTCTGTTGTGTCAGTGTGTCACTCTGTACTGCTGCAGGTGTGGTGGGGTCAGGAGAGGATGCCCACTGTGGTGAGCGTGCGTCCCTCAGCAGCCTGGGATGCCTTCTCCAGCCTGCAGAGCCTGAAGGGGTGGGGAAGCTACCAGTGTGCTCACAGCCTGGTCACCGTCTTCTACGACTCTGAAAAACTTCTGCAGGAGGTACAGGACTGACGTAGCGAACTGTACTGTACGCACGTGCTGTCCTGAAAGACACTGTGTAGGCGCACTCTACCACAGTGCACCCAGACACTCTTCGCTGTAGGGTGGGGGGTCACGAGAATGACGCCCTCAGATCTCTCACAGATCATGGTTTGATGCTGTGGAGAGAAATACCTGGTGCTTCACGTTGAGTTGGCTCTTTGTTTCTGACGTCAGCACTTTCGCTGCCTGGGAGACTGAGCAGGACCCTGTTTTTGCATGGGGCAGTTTAGAAGGGTGTCAACACCTTTGCAGGATTAGCTGTCGTGATGAATTGTGGAATAAAACGTGTGTTTTTCAGCTTTACAGTTTCCAGGAGGTGGTCCATTGCCTTTCAGCAAGCAGCCACAGTGGCCTATGGCTATCCTTTTGTGTTCCACCAGCGCTCTTGTTTTCTAACACAAAGATCAGCAGAGGAGGAGACAGATGATGCAACTCTGTATTTAGAGTACTGTTAGTTGTTAATCTGCTTTTTTATCTCTCTCTGCAGCTCGTGTACACAGTGGACTCAGCTGGCCGGGGTTCCCTGGTGAAGAGGAGACTGCCTGTTCCTGAGATCCTGTCCCACTACCACTTCTCCCAGTCTCCCTACAGCTCTCAGCACACTGAGTCAGTGCTGTCTGTACTGTCACTGTCTGTACTGTGTTCTCTGTCTCCCTACAGCTCTCAGCACACTGAGTCAGTGCTGTCTGTACTGTATTCTCTGTCTCCCTACAGCTCTCAGCACACTGAGTCAGTGCTGTCTGTACTGTGTTCTCTGTCTCCCTACAGCTCTCAGCACTCTTGGTCAGTGCTGTCTGTACTGTCTCTTGTACTTCTCTCTCCCTCCCTCAGGCAGTCCAGTGAGTTTATGTTCGAGCGCCTGTGCCCGTTTTTCTCGATGCGAGTGGAGGAGGCCCCCCCCCCGGAGCTGTTCAGCCGTGTCCAACACTATCGGGCTGAGCCACCCACTGTCCTACGCTCCCCCGGCCTGCACTCCATCTCCTCGCTCGCGGTCTACCAGGGCCTGCTGCACCAGCTGCTCTGGCTACACGCCTCCTACAACAGGGTACAGCACAGTAACACAGGGCAGTGAGACAGGGGACAGAACACAGCATAGTAAAACAGTGCAGGCAAAGCGACAGTACCTCATAGCTTTATACAGTGAAACAGTATTGGATGGTTAAATGGCACAGCACAGTGAAATACAGTAAAGGACTGTAGTGTGTGGATGTCAGTTCATTCTCGGTACATAGCAGCAGCAGCAGACAGAAGTGTTGCACAGTCCGGTCCATTATACTGTAGTATCGTTGGCTGCCAGTCAGTGCAGAACAGTTTGTGTGTCCACAGCCCTACGGAGATCCAGTTCACGACCCGACCTGGCGCTGGTGGAAGAATAAGGTGGTGTATGAGGTGAGGATCAAAGTACACTGTTACTGAAAAGAGTGCACAGGAACGCAAGAACACTCTACCTCTTTGTGTGCGTTTCTTGGTGCTGATTTGTTACAGTGCAGTGTTGGGGTCCGTGTTTTATTAAGACTGCAGCTGCAGAGTGTGCTGTCATTGCAGGATTATTATTTCTACTTGGCCAGTAACCGGCTGTCCAGCGGGGGTGTCTACGTGTCCATGCAGGATTACGCCAAGGTGTACAGCAGCCCAAGCACCAAGCCCCTGCCTGACCGCATCTACCTGGACAGGGGGACGAGCTACAGCTTCTCAGTCTACCTCACTGCCAGCCTCTCTCAGACAGGTGCCTCGCTTTTCTTTCACTGCCTCTCTGTTTGTCTTTAACAGCCAGCCTCAGCCCCTGACAGACAGGAACTCACTGTTTGTCTCTCTGCCTCTGTCTCCATTTGTGTTTCTGTCTGACTTCCACTCTCGGCCCCTGACAGAGAGGAACTCGGTGTTTCTCTCTCTGTCTCTCTCTCCGTGTGTTTCTGTCTGACTTCCACTCTCAGCCCCTGACAGACAGGAACTCATTGTTTCTCTCTCTGTGTGTTTGTGTCTGACTGCCAGTCTCTACCCCTCTCGGACAGGAACTCAGTGTTTCTCTCTCTGTGTTTGTATCTGCCTGCCAGTCTCTGCCCCTCTTGGACAGGAACTCAGTGTTTCTGTCTTTTGCCTCTGCCCCTCTCTCCCTGTCCCTGTCACTCCTCCATGTTTCTCGTTTCCCCTTTCAGATGCCAGCTTCGTGCAGGAGACGCTTGGTCAGATGTGGCTCTCAGCAGGGGTGTCCGACGCCAGTTTCATCTTGGTCAATATCCATAGGCAGGAAATTATCGGCCGAGCGGCTGTCCTGTACAGGGTAGGAACCCGTATCCTCAGATGGCGACAGGGCACTGAGCACCCTTAAAAGTGTGGGGGGTTAACAATGCACAGCACTTTCATCTCCTCACCATAGTTTTACACTATAACCTACACACCTTTCCCTCTCTCATCACCCTGCTGTGCTGCACTACATCCTGCTCTCGTGCTCATTTAGCTGCTCAGTCTCTCATTGATCCCAGGGTCCAGCTGTTTTTGGAGGATTCAGAAGGTAAGACCTAGAAGGTAGAAAACTGAATTGTTTTCAGTTACTACTGACAGTGTCACTGTAACGTACAGCCCTAGCTGTTCTCCCGGATTGAGGGCAAGCCAACCTGTTGTCCTTAGGCTTTTACCAAAGCCAGTTCACATGCAACTGCCATTCAGCTGTGATTGTTTAAACCCCCTACACCACCTTGCTTTCATATACATGTATTTCCGAAGTTATATGTACTGTAATGTGAAAAAAACATTAATATTTTCAAATATTAACTGGCAAGCAATAAAAATGTTCCTAATGATGTTGACTAAGTGAGAAAGCTCTGAATGTCATTGTTTACAGATGACCTGGGGCAGTCCCAGATCTCCTGGGCACTTCCTTTTTTATTTTAGAGAAAGATAACCATACTACATACAGATGGCGAGGTTTTACACCGTACATTATTCCACATACATATCGTAAATAGACATGTGATCTGCTTCTTTCCTGTTTTCTTTATGGTGTTTCAAATAATTGAAGATCTGTGTACACTCAAAACAAGGAAGCTGTATCATCTTTTGTGATTATAGAGAGGAAGAAAAGCACATTACCTTTGCAGAGAGACAAGAACAACATAAGAAACAAAGTACTTTCCTACTTCAAGTTTCAAATATTCTGTATCTTAATAAATTCTGACCTTATAGGTGACCTTATAATGTACCTGATCCATCTGAACCAATATCTAATCATTTTTTCAGTTGTAATTTAAGTGAAAACATGAACACTGCGTTTTCCCCTGTATGATGCACCTTCTGTTTTGGAGTTACAAAGAATCTGACAGTACTCTTCCAACAATCCTCTCTCTATAAGAGTGAGTTGGTACATCTCTATTGAAATTCACACATTTTAAACCACTCTTCATTGCGAATCTTAACATTACTTTCTTTCTCCCACGTCCTTTATATACCCCGTAGAATGTAATTTCTTCACCCTTGTACAGTTTAGATATGACACGTTCCTGATAAAATACTTTAGTACATTTTTACTTTACTCTCATAAACACCATATTACTGGCTATATCTAGACTTGAAAATATCTGGAACAATCGTTTCCAAGCAGTATCTCTTTTAAAACTTCACAGCTGATCTTTATCCACTGTGGTACAAGATGCTCTTATTCCTTTTCTTACCCAGATTTCGGATCTATTAGCCGATCTGTCTGCTGTGGCACGGCGCGGGGGCGTGCCCAGTGTGGGGGCGGAGCCCTGGTAGAAGGGCGACGCCTCGCCTTTGTAGTCCCGGCTGTCCCGGCTTCTAGAGGATGAGCCCCAGCCAGGAGGTCCTATAAAGACACACTGGACACCCCGCAAGGGGACGAGCCGGGACAGCCCCGGAAGGGGGAGTTTATACCGACAGTCCCGGAGGGGTCTGCACCCGTGTAAGGTGTTCTTTTTCTTTTTGCCTGTCCCGTCACGTGTTTTCACTGGGGCACGCACGCTTTTTCCACGCACTCAGTTCTTGTTTTGTTCTTGCCTCGCGCGCCCTGCCCTACTACACTGGACCCTGTTAAATAGGGTCAGTCCAGTCTGGTCAGCGCTGTGCGAGGGGCTCTCTTTTCCCCAGACTGGAGCCCGTTAAACAGGGTAAGCCCAGCGTGGAGGTCACGAGGCACAGCGCTACACTTGCTTTTTGTTTATTTTTTCACCCCCTTTTGTGTTATTTGTGGTCCCTGCCGACTTCACGCCGGTGCCTCCGTCCCCTTGCCCAGGGCGTTGGCTCTTTACCGGTGCTCTCCGCAGCGCCTTCCACTACACACTGTCGCACTGGATTAAACTCCAGATCACAGGCACACCACAGCACCTGAGTGTGTTTCCTGTGTCATCTATATCATACTCATTTTTAACTGGGTTCCATGTCTTTAGCTCTAGTTTATCCATGGATTAAGTATTCAGTAGATTTGGCTAGGTTCTTGCTACCTAACGATGCCTGAATTTGGGGGCTTACTCCCACCTAAGATGGTACAGTATTTGTCTTTTAAAGAGTTTTTTGGGGGTTTGTAATTAAAAGTTAGAACTTCTTCTTTTTTTTTTTTAACCTTTAACTTATAACCTGTCTGGGCAGTTCTTTGCAGACACTGCCGCTCTTTGTGAACGGTTTTGGCTTGAAATGCAGATCCCGTTAGTCTTGGTTTCAGTTTTGGGACTGAAGGAGCTTATTGTGTTGTCAGATTCCCCATTGAGAGGGGGAATTATTCCAGAGGCTATTATCTGATTTATTTCCACTCCACTATCTGTCTCTGTCAGGTGATGCACCAAGTCAGTATTCTAGATCAGTGCTTACTTGGGTATTCACTATACATTTATGTTCTTTTAAAAATGTAGTTATTCCTTTCTTTGTATTAAATACAGTACCTCCTCAGCCCACCCTTTTCTCTTTCGTCTCTCTCTCCTCTGTCTTGCTTCCTCTCCCTTCTCCCCTTCCAGGTGCAGGTCAGCGACCAGGGCAAATTTCCAGGCCAGGCTCTGACAGGACAGGATCTCATGGTCTTTACACTGTTTCTGTCGGTGTGTACAGTTTTTAACTGCGTCTGTATTTATGAGGTGTGTGGGTAGCATGTGTTAGATGAGTGTATTGAGTGTGTATTCCACGCTCCTTTCAGGTTGTGCATTCGGAGCTACACTGCTACCAGCAGACTGAGTCAGGGCTCTCTTTCCAGGTACAGAGTGCTTAACAGCACACTGAAATGCACACAATCACACACACTAATATGCATATCGATACTCCCTCCTTCAATCCTTCCCTCTCTGTCTGTCTCTGCCTCTCTCTGTCTCCATCACTCCCTTTCTCTGTCTATGTCACTCTCTCTCTGTCTCTGCCTCTTTCTCTCTGTCTCCATCACTCCCTTTCTCTGTTTCTATCACTCCCCCTCTCTGTCTCTGCACCTCTCTGTCTCCATCACTCTCTCTCTCTGTCTCTGTCACTCTCTTGCTTTGACATGCACACGAGTTTTTTTCAGCTGAATGAAATACCATGTACACCTGTGTGTTTGTCAAGGGGCAGGAGAAGGTGCCAGTGTATATCGGTTGTCCTCCGGGTCGTCGGCTGGTGTTTGACGTGTCCTCCACCCTGCGGCACGGCACCAAGCTCAACAAGCGCTACTTCAACTGCCCCAAACCCGACCCTGAGAGACCTTGCTTCTACTATGAGGACAGTCAGTGTCGAACTCTCTGGCTCTGTCAGACTGTTGCTTTCAGTTTGCCACTGTCTGTCTTTCTCGGCCCCGACCCTAAGAGACCTTGCTTCTATTGTGAAGACATTCAGTGTCATACTGCCTGGCTCTGTCACACTGTCGCTGTAGCTCTTGACTCTGCCCTGCTGTGTCTGTCACTGCCTGCCTCTCCAGGCCCAACCCCCAGAGACCCTGATACTGTCTGGCTCTGTCACACCGTCGCTGTGAGTTTGTCACTGTCCTTCTTGACTCTGCCCTGCTGTGTATACCACAGGCTGGTTCTGCTATTAGAACAGTTACTGTTTTTTTCTCTCTGAGGGTCACAACATCCACCACTCTCTTGAGTTACTGGTCTTGGCCCAGCAGTGAGGAGCCCTGTTTATCCTTCAGTGTTTCTCTTTCACTGCCACGTGCTCCCTCTGTGCACAGTGAGCGTCTCTCTGGCAGCGTGTCTGTTTTTCTCTCTCTCTGCAGCCTTCTATCCGTTCTTCCTGATCCAGGACATGGTGTCTGGGGAGTCTGGACGCTTCCTGGGCAGGTGAGAAGTCCCCCCCCTCCTCAGTAATCAGTTAAAACCCTGTGGGTCTCTTCTTTAACCAGAATGGCTTATGGAGTGTGTACATGCTTGTGTTTATGTCAGTTGTGTAGCCATGGTGTTGTATAGGATACTATTGTGGCAGGTGTGTTGTGTTGCCAGTTTGTGATGTTGGTGTAGTTAGTATAGTAATGAGTGTTGTTTAGAATGAGTTGCAGTCTGTAGCCAGTGTGTAGGGTGTTGGGTAGTCAATGTGTGTTTTACATGGCATTCTATACGTTGATGTGCAGTGTGAGTGGGATGTTGTGCAGTCAGTGTTGTGTGTGGTCCTTAAGCCTAGACCTCGGTTTTGTTGCAGTTACACCTTCAAAGTGGTGGGTGGAGGACCTTACTCCTACGACAATCTGCGCAACTACACTGTCGAGGAGGTGCTGAGGTACAATAGCCTCAACCACAGGTAATCCAGTGCACTGTCTGCAGCCTGGCACAGACTATAGTTTGCACAGAACAGTTGAACAGCCACTGTTAATAATGCAGCCCTGTTCAGCACAGTCCAGCAGAAGAGATCCTGATTACAGCTCTCTGATCGCAGCCCAGGTTTCATCCACTGACGTGTAGACTGTAGGGCTCAGCCTGAAGACTGCGCTGTATGACAGGTTAAAGAAAGCGCAGTGGTTTTTGCAGTATTGCACATTGTAATATCCTTTTTCTGTGTTTCTCCCTCTTCCCTGGTTCACCCATTGCCTCTCCGTCTCTCCCTGTGTGTGTGTCACAGTTCAGAAATGGCGCTGGTGTGGATGATGGCGGATGAGTCTGGCCGTCCCTTCAACACCACAGAGGAGGGCTTTCCGATCTTACAGGGTGCCTCCAGCAGCATTGGGTATATCCTCCAGTCTGCTCACCATGTATTGCTATCGTGCTGCTACATACTGCTGTCATTTGCTGTCTTTTACCCTCAGCCTCTCCACTTGTGTAACACCCATTAAACGTAACCCATTTGTCTTCATTTTTTTATTTCAGAATCAAGGTTTTGTTTGTTTTGTGCCCTTTGCAATATGGCACCACCAGCTGTAAACAAGCCTGGCCCTCACCTCATCCTGACTCTCAGTGGTCATTAAAGATCCCCGGGCATTTCTCGATAAGAGTAGGGAGATATCCCGGTGTCCGGGCCAAATTTCCCCCCTCGGCCTTTACTGTGGCCTCCCTGTGGTCCCTGTGTATGATTGGCTTGCACTGGCCCTGCGGTGGACTGGCGCCCCCTCCAGGGCGTGCCCTGCCTTGCGCTCGTTGCTTGTCGGGTTGGCTCTGGCTTCCCGCGACACCGTATGGTATAAAGCAGTTTGGGAAATGACATGACAATGAGGCTTGAACTGAAATGGTGTTGTGGCTCTGATTGCAGGTGGATTTGTCAGAGGAATTCTCCTTGCACTGACATTCCTGTCACCGGCCTCATGGCCCCCGAGTTCTTCTTCCTCATAGAAGTGTCCAACAGGTCAGCACCTGTCTGTGTGTGGCTGATGCCTTCATGTCAGTGTGTCAGTAAGCTAATAGCCACCAAAGAAGAGGCCTCCTCATTTGTATCCTTCCTTTGTTGTTATGAATCTGTGTGTGGGCACAGCCCTGTGTGTGCGCCTGTTAGACCCTATCGTGGGGGGGGGTAGGGGGGGGTCATATTAGCGCTGTCTTCCCCTTACCTCTGTGTATCTGTGAGCAGGGGTGTGGATGTCAGTACGTACTGTGACTACGCTCTGCAGTTTGTCATCCACGTGCACGGCCTGCCTCTGGACCCCTACCGAGGGCTCTTCCACATGCTGGTGAGCGCCGACTCGCGCGCGCAGATCAGAAAGAGTCGCAAAGGAGGGGATATTAAAAATGAACAGGTAAAGGTTGACTCCAGGCTGAAAGGAAAAGAACAGAGACACAATGTTTCGACTTTTCCAGGTGTGTCACACACCCACCTAACGGCACACACACCTGAAGAAGGCTCCACAGCCGAACATTTTCTCTTTTCTTTTCCTTTTGGTAATGGAATCAACTTGACCTGTTCCTTTGCAGCCTACGCATGCTGACGCAGCTCCCTACTGGGATATTGCAAACGGCGTTTTGACCTCGTTGAGGTTCTTGGACCTCATTGATGAGTGTCCTACCAACCAGTAACACAGACAGTCTGTACCAGTTTCTGCCTCTTTCTGTCCCTCCTGCCTTTAAATCTCTCTCAGGTGACCCTGGGCGTGCTGTGGGCCGTGCTGTTCTCCTTCATCGTTTACCGCTGCTGTGGGCCTTGGCTCAAGTCCCACCTGACCTCCTTCTTCCGCCACATCCGGGGCACAATCGATAAGCATCGCGGTACGACAGCGGCGACTGCCTCTGGACTCCGTCGTTTTTTGTCTTGAGTGAACAGTGGTGTGAGATGTTTCCAAGTCTCTGACCGGTGGTTGGCTCGGCTCTGAAGAAGGTTTTCTGTTGGTGGGCTGTCCTGGTGTCCTCGCGAGGCTTGATTTGCTTTGCTGGTGTTTCAGGTTCTGAGGTGTTTCCGGTGCACAGTGAGACTGGCGTGTGGGAAGATGGCCCCTCCAATCTGCCCGCACACTGATTTCAGAATAAACGGTCAGTTTAGCACATCTCTGAATCATAGCAACTGCTTGTGCCCATGTGTAAGTACTGAGCCCCAGAGGAGAAAGGAATTCCTCACTAATAGGATACTGCAGTATACTGTACACTACAATCCAGTTCTCTAACTGTTGCACTGTGTAGTGGATAGTTAGTATATTCTACTGCACTTTATGGTACAGTATAGTAGTAAACTATACGATGCCTCAATGTAGTGTGCTATAATGCAACACAGGATTGTACTTTACTGTACAGTACAATACAGTATGGGACATACCATATGTGCTACATAATATAGTAAATTGTAGAATGGGACCATACGGTGCCTTACTGTGCTACACAGTATAGTGCAATAAAGCAGGGGGCTGTTTGATGATACTGTATGTAGCTGTGAACTGAAGAGTACTGCAATTCCACTACTTAATTAGTGATAATTCAAGGGACAGTGCGTGTTGTCTTGTTAAATACGTCACTGTGCAGAGTACATTCAACCCATGATGAGAAATGATCATATGATAAATATTATAATTTATAAATATTTTGTGCTGCATATTATATTTACACTACCTGTAATACTAAAAATATTTAACTTCTGTATAAGGCACTGTCGTGCTGTTGTTTATTACATTGTACTGCAATAGAAATTGTCAGAAACATGCAAATATATTCACAGTATTGGTAACAGCTGTTGTAACACACTTCTGTTCACTCGTGTATGTTGAGATGTTTTGCTTGAATAGGTATGTGTAAGGCTGAGTTATATCTTTTTACCTCGTTACTTCTCGTGTGAAACAGTCACTGTAATAACATAACTGATAGATTAATTCACCCTTGATCTGTTTTTTTCATTCATACATTTGACCAGTTTGGATTCTTCATCCCACCAAGGCCTTCTCACTATTGGCTGAGACACCTGCCATTCCTGCTCACCTGAGACGGGATTGGCCCTTGCGCTGGCGGAGCCCTCTCTGTGGCATCAGACGCAGTTTCACACAGTGGGGGTCCTCGTGTTCTTGTCGTTTTTCATATAAAGGAGTGTCAGTGTGTTCAAAACTCTTTACTTTATACAAAACAAACCCAACACTAGCTGTCACTGTGAGTCCCTTTACATACCACGCCAATCTAAATTAACTGCTTGTGAGAATCTGGCTCTCAGTCCTCCACCAGTTGACTCTTTATCCCAATCAATGCGCACCACTTGATTGCGTACTATACCAGATACAGTGATATGTGAACTTATATACAAACAATTCACACCTATCGACCTCTGTGGCAGATCAGCAGACATTGCTATCCTCATGACTCCTAGCCTGCCCTGTGTTCCCCACAGGAGAGCTGTGTAATTATTATATGTCCCTTATAGGAAGGCTGTAAAAGTGGTTCTTTGTTCTCATAGCTTGCCAGTGATAAAGAAGTGTGGTGTTTAATGAGGACTGTTCATTTTCTGAGTTTATTTTCCTGCTACTAAAAAGGCCATAAATTGTGTTTCTGTTCACTAGATCCCAGTTTAGCAAAATGTGTTTATTGCCTTCTGTGTAGGATGTTTTTATGGCATTATTAACCATTGACTGCATGCATCTCCATTCTTTTGAGAAAAATGTTGGTCTGGACGCCTCATTGCTCTGCTGGTGAAAATCAACCCTCTGCCTTAATGCTTCTCTCCTAGTCTGACTTGTGAAGCTGCAGGGCTGAAAGGTGTTGAAGGGGCTCTGGAATTACCTGTGAACTGTGCTTGAGGGACTGATGTGGCAAGAGACACAGTGGCTGTGATGTTCAGTGAGAAGCAGCTCTGGCCTTGCTTGGTGATGAAGAGTTTTAGTGTTTTTAACTGGGAAACAGCTAATACGTTTGAAGGTACAACCATGTGATTTAAAACAAACATGGAAAACGTAGATCCTTATTGTAATCCCAGGGCATTTCTTGAAAACAGTATGGGTGTAACCCCGGTTTCCTGGCCAAATTTCCCCCTGGCCTTTACCAATCATGACCTCCTAATCCCATCTCTGAACTGGCTCTCTCTCTCTGTTCTCCTCCCACTGAGAGCTGGTGTGTGGGGAGAGGACTGGCACATCATCCAGGTGGGGCTGCACACTGGTGGTGGTGGAGGGAATCTCCATTTCACCTGTAAAGCTCTTTGAGTGGAGTGTCCATAAAAGTGCTATATAAGTGAAAGCAATTATTAGTATTATTCGTAAGGTATAATAGAGTGCTCTGGGTCACAATGCCACAAGAGGGCACCCTTGTCTTACTCTGCACACTACACTGCGTATACATGATAGGAAATACAAGCCAGAGCTTAGCATGAAGTCACCAGCAGGGCACCTGGCTTCCCATCTCCTGGATGGGACACCAGTTAATGGTAGGGATTTACCCCCAGCAGTGCTGGTCCCCATTTGTACAGCTGGGTGGACTGGGGCTATTGGGGTCATGACAACAGAGACTTACCTTCTATGCTACACTGCACCGATAGCATATATATAATAAGTAAATAATATAGACTCATTTTGAAGGTATTGTAGTTACCTGTTTTGGAGCAAAAAGAGCTCCTGATTCTATCAGATTATCACTATTCATATAAACTGTGCAAATGTCACAAGAAGCAGACTTAGTAGAAAAATAAACTAATATTTGAGTCTTCCTTAACCATAGCCAGGCCGTTCTCTCTTAACTGTGATTGGCAACATGTTCCTGTTAGTTCTCCTGATTTTGTTCGGCTGTGTTCATGTGAAGTGAAGAAGGGTCGAAGTCTGAGAACGGTCTATAAGAGCTTGTCAGATGAGATTAAACACAGACGCGACCTGGCAGAGCCTTGTTTTGGGAGAGGTATGGCTGTTTCTGAATCGGTTTTGGACAATGGGCTGGAATGTGCTTGGAGCAGGACAAACAACCACAGATGTGAAGTGGAGCATGCAGCTGGGGGGGGGGGGGCAGACTGGGCTCTCTGGGATCACGGCAGCGGGTTGGGATCACTGGGCTCCAGCTGTGGGGTCACACTGATGTACCCTCATATTGTCTTCTATGTTCTTGTTCTGCATGACCACAATGCAGCACAACATGTAAACAGTTCAGCTGGATCCCACTGATTCAAAATGTGAGTTTGTGCTGCTTTCCCAAAACAAGGGCCTCTTCCCCCCGACTCTCCACCCCCCCCTCTGCACTGTGTGCCTCTGGAGCGTCTGCTCTGTTTCCCTTTTAATTTCTGTAGCTTCTTCTTTCTCACGTTTTTCTCTTTGTTCCCTTTCTTTAAGTCCGCCTTGCCATGGAAAAGCCCTCCCAGTGTGAAAACAGCAGCAGCCCCAGTGCCCCTCTCTCCCCCTCTCCCTCCCTCATTGTATGGGCTCTGACAGGTGTGTAATAGGATGATTCATGATTGCCAGCCTCCCTTCTCCTCCCCCTGTTCTCCTTGCACTGGCTGGCAGCGAGTCTTCTCCCCGCACAAGCGAGTGCAATTCTGGCCCACACTCGGACGCAAATACTCAGTCTGATGAACACATGCACCGTGTGCTCTGCCGAGCTGCCGGTTCTCCCACTGCACTTACGATGTTTCATCACCGGAGCCTTAATTCAATCTGATCAGTTTGGGACGGGGAAGGGTATCTGTGGACATAATGGGTCATTCGACCCATCAAGCTTGTTTGGTTTTCCTGATCTCATTAGTTGAAGGATCTCATCCAACCATTTCTTAAAAGAACCCAGCTTCAGCCACTTGACAGGGTAACTTGTTCCGGACTTCCACAACCCTTTGTGTAAAGAATTGTCTCCTCTTCAGAGTTTCCATGTGGTTCCCACTTGTACAGTACCTTCTGCTTTATGTTTCACTGTTCATGCTGAGGAAATTCGCTGCATTGTCCCCTCATAGTATTCTCTGTTCAAGACAACAGAGAGTTGGTTCCTTCAGCCTGACAGCGTAGGACATGCCTACAAGCCCCAGCATGTATCTGGCTACTCTTCTCTACACTGGTTCCAGAGCAACGGTATCTTCTCGATAATGTGGTGACGAAAGATGTGAACAATATTCTAAATAAGGCCTAACTAGTACCTCCTACAGTTTTTACACAGCATCTCTTTTCTCCCTGCAGTGGAGAGAGAGCACTACTTCCAGTCTGTTCTGTGTCATTGGCTGACTGGGACTGGGATGCCTCAAGCAGTGATTAACAATTTGAAGTCTTAACTTCTGTTTAGAGGGGATTGTGTTTGGTCGGGGTCTTTTTGTCCTGACAGGAGAGTGCAAACGTGCAACCCTACTGTTGCATGCTTCACCACGCCGATGGTGTGATGTTGCGATGTTGCCTCCATTACTTTCTGCGCCGGTAAAAAGCTCTGTGGTCTGTGGTCAGTCATGCAGGTAAGCGTTTGGTGCTCCCAAATTGGGGAGGCATGACCAGAGACAAGGTGGGCACTTCAAAATTCATTAAGACCTTGAGCTGCTAGAGGAAGGGCAGCTGGGAAGACTCTTTTGCGATTCCCAGCTGCGGCAGTATCAAAGGAGTGCAGTTATGGCACACACCTCATGGTGAGCATGACCCAGCCAGGGCTGAAATGCGATACGAACATGCGTCCGAATTCTTCTATATTACTTTCACACATGTCGATGATATATTTTATTACTCACTGGGATGGCATCATAGTACCCATTCTCCAGTCTGGCTGCCGGAGCTCAGGACGCCACATCGGCTCTTCCCCCATTGTGCTGTTACTGTACACTGACATCGGCAGCACTCGCTTCTGAAAGTGACACTGAAGTCACACAGAATAAAAACTGTGAGACCGTACAATCGCAGAACGTGTCTGCAGATTCAGTCTGCCACCTCCCAGTCGTGTCAGCCTGATCGTGACTTCGCAAACTGAGGCCAAGCTGAATTTTTGTGAAGAAGGTTTGATGAATGGATTTAATCAACTAGTAATGTGAGTGATGTCCTTTTCTTTGTATTTTATCCAGAATGTTGTGTTTGGGTGGCATGGTGGAGCAGTGGTCAGCATTGTTACTGGGGCCTGGGTTCAGTTCCTGGGGTGCTGGCTGTGTGGAGTTTGTATGTTCTCCTGCGTTTCCTTCAGGTGCTCCAGTGTCCTCCCACAGTTCAAAGACATACTGTAAGATAGAAGTTCAAGCAGGTAGCTGCTTGTTGCGATGTTGTAGGCTGCAAAGGATCGAGGAAAGGTTTATTCCATGCGGAAAAGAAAAAGAGACACAACATTTTGGCTGTGGAGCCTTCTTCAGGTGCCCGGAGGTAGGTTAGGTTAATTGACTTCTGGGTAAACTGGCCCTGGTGTGAGTGTGTGTGTTTGTGTTTCTGTGTCCTGTGATGGACTGGCGTCCCATCCAGGCTGGATCGGCCATGCGCCCTTTGCTTGCCAGGAAACCCCACAACCCTGTAGTGGATAAAGTGGATGGATGTTTATAGCTTCTATCAGGCCACTGGTCTGTTTGTATTTTCAGAATGGTTTAAATAATTTTTTGGCAAGATATTACAGGCAACTTTGAATCATAATATGTCAGATGCCTTATTCAACAGCAACATTAGCACACAGAGCCTATGACTGGCAGGCATATGGACAGACATACGCTGACAGGAAGCAGGGATCATCCCTTATCTGAGGGTCATCGCCCTGGGGTCATGAAACTAGGCCGCTTCCTCTCGACCCCTGGCCTCCGTGAACTCTGACCCTTGCCTGAGGCCATATGCATCAATCATGGAGAGAGGGGGAACAAAAGTGTTTGAATTCATGTTTGACATGACTAAAGGCTTTAGCTTGAATTTGAACTTTGTACTGAGTCGCACTGTAGTTTGGGGCATGGAGGCAAGACAGCTGCTGAGAGGAGAAGAGTTTTTCTGGCTGGAAGGATGGGGAGAGGATAGCAGAAGAGATAGAGGGAAGATAGCAGGAGATGATATAGAGGGAGAGAGGACAGCAGGAGAGATGATATATAGGGAGAAAGGATAGCAAGAGAGATGATATAGAGGGAGAGAAGATAGTGGAAGAGATGATATACAGTAGAGGAAGAGATGGGGAGAATATAGGAGTGGTCCGCAGGCGTTGGGGAAGTGAGGTGGGAGACAGGAACAGGAAAGGCTGCAGAGACGCAAGTGGTGGGGGAATGGGAGAGGGAGAGATGGGGAGGAGAGACAGAACCACTGAGGAGGAAAAGAGGTTAAGGTGGGGGGGGAGAACTAAACATGTCATATAGTTTTAACAACCCCACTCGCCAAGGATGAGCACACTGCGTTTGAAAAAGAAGGGATTTTATTCTTATTCATCTTCAAATAAGTTCTTTATCATAAAAACGAGAGAAACCAGTAATGGCAGCAGCAGCTCGGGCCAGCCCCCCTGCGAGGGGTCGTCCCTGAAACATGGAAGTCTTCTCTCCACCAGGGACCGAGAGGCAGAGAGGCCCCACGTACTGTCGCAGAGGAGTAGCAGGTGTGCTGTTGTGTAGCAGTGTGTGTGTAGTTGTGGAATTCTACGACGTGTGTAACTAGTGGTTCTATTGTGTACATGTACAGTGGCCTGTGTAGCTGTGCAGGTGATTAGTTGCGTTGTGTAGGTGTGTAACAGTGCCGTGGTAGGGTTTTGCTGCTGTACAGTAGCTAACTGCAGTTGTGTAGTGGTTTATCTGTAAAGATGCCCAGGGCTCAGAGACACCTCTGAAAGAGTTGTGTTTAAGCACTGACCTGTACCATGTTGTAATTTAATTTGAAATATTTATCCCGTCTTAAAGCAATGCCATAGGTGTTTAGGAATCACGTATTAAAAATCCTGAAAGGTTATTACTGGTAAGCCAATGCAGCAGAGCACGAGTTCAACAACGAAACTATGACCTCAGGGCACAAGAGGAAATTAAGAGGGACTGAAAATAGGAGGCACTTCTTTACACGGAGAGTGGCAGGTGTCTGAGTCCCTGCAGGCCGTGGCAGGACGAGACTCTGGAAGAGGGAGCAACTGAGTGTGCAAGCAGGACCGGCTGGAGCCCCTCTCTTTCGGTGGGCTGCGGAATAAGGACCCCCATCAGAAGAACACTCCTCTAACTGTCTCCTCTCTCTCCAGCCGTGCCTGTGACAGCAGGTGTGAAAGGTCGGATTTTAACAGTGAACTTTAAAGGCTGACGATTTTCCCAAGTTCGTTTCTGAGCTCTTCTCTTTTTGAAAAGTAGCAAGCGAAAATAAAACTTTTGTAAATGGAACTTTTCTTTTTTCTTGACATCACCCAGCCTGCAAGGTGTCAATCTTGGCGTATCTGGCTCCGGGTCCTGGCCTATTACCAGAGCCTGCACCTGGTAAAACCCGGGCTGGCTCTCAGAGCTGTGCGGCAGGCCTGTGCTCCTCCCTCCCTCCCTGGGACAGGTGAGGGCGGGGCTTGGGGAAACTGCAGAGCAGGTGCAGTGGTGTTGCTGGGCCAGCAGGTGGTGCTGTGCTCGGTCTTCAGGATTGGATCCACACGCTGTGCTTCCATATGGTGTGTCGCACTCCCCTGTCCACTTCCTGCAGGGTCCTGCTCTGCATTGTGGGAAGAGTGAGCCCCAGGCTTCAGATCAGTGCCAGGGGCTCTTTGGAAGCTTGGCCCACCTGTCCCTGGCGACATGCCCCGTGCTGTCAAAGCGTGCCAGTTGCGTGGGACGCTCCTCTGATGTGAGTAATTCTGGAGACAGGTCGCCGTAGCGCCCAGTGGCAGATTCCATGGATGGGGTGAACATGGCATTTTTCAGGGGCTTTGCTCATGAAAGAGAGCTGGACACCTTGGGGCCTGATGAA